TATAACTCGTTAGTCAATCCCGCTGTAGCTTGAAAAAAGGTTCCATTGTTAGTTGAATCATACCAAGGATAGTCTTGTATGTGCTGTAGCTTGGCATTAAGACAAACAAACTAACCTTACCAATTAGCCTCTTTCTAGCCAAAGTGTTTACGACTATGGGTACTCGTCGTTGACCGTAATTTTCCGTGTAAAAACGTATATTTGCAGGGAGATGGTTTCTGAAAATTCCGACTTGCAACACTAGTATATTATGTCTTATAGTAACCATGGAACGACTTAATTAACTGAGGTTCCCAAGAGACATGTAAAAATTATTTCGATGATATCCTAAGCCCAGCTAAAACAAGCAAGGATAATTTACGCAAAATAGAAGAGATATTTTAGTGATCTTTATTACACCTTTATATGTAGCATAAACAGAGCCACACTACCCAGCCCGGGAGGAAAAAGATTTACTAACATTTTTTGACATAATTGTCCTATCAACATACTAGTTAACAAGTATAAATTCAATGGGCGGATGTACCAGCGTTCTTAAGTTCGACCTCTCCAACAAATTAGCGTTTTACTAGCTACAGAGTTTACAACTAGAGGTATTGATCGTAGACCGTTATTTTCCGTGTAAATAATGTATATTTACAGGAGAAGATTTTGAAAAATTCTGACGTGGAATACTGGGATATTATATGTCTTGTTTGAACCATGGTTTAACCGAAGGAACAACTTAATTTCCCCCGGAAATATGTAATAATTATTTTGACGGCATTATAAGTCCCGCTAAAACATACGACGACTATTTGCCTAAGACAGAGGAGATAATCAAACGAATGCTTTTAGAGAATCTAGCGCTAAAACTATTTAAATACTCATTTTGCGTGTTAATGAAGGAGGTAAGATCTGGAAGTTATTAGACGTAGCGAATCGCATATCCGCACCATCAAACAAATTAAGCCTCCAAAATCTGGCCATAAGGCAAAAATTGTTGAATTTTTCAACTAATTTCGTAAGTACATAGCTTTAACTTTGCAAAGAAGATTGAGCCACTGCATGAATTATCTGTGATAAGAGGAAGTACTATTCTTCTATGGAAAAACTAGCATAGCGAGAGGTTGGAGAGTTTAATCAATTTGTTAACATCTAAATCAATTAAGTCACTCTTTTATCCCAAGAGGGGGCAATAATTCGCACAGATGCAAGTTATGATGGAATGCCAGACGTTCGTAGTCCAATTGATACGCACAAAAAAGAACACAAATATGCAAGACATTCATTTTAAACATCATTAAAATAAGCAATTTATTCAGCGGGCTGTGAAAATTAGTTTTAAATATTTCAGTCAGGTTGGGTTAGTCCTCTTTCTACATGTTTACTCGGTTTCTAAAAAAAAATAAGTCTTTGGTCCTTAGATACATACGTCATACTATTTAAAGTAAAAGGGATACACGAAATATTTTTGTTTAACGAACGCTCTTTGTACTAATGGATTTTGTTGAAATGTATACTTCGGATCCTGCAACAATAAATACATGTTTAACATTTATATTCATTCTACAATATAATTGACGCGTCCAGAACTATAAAATGTGATTAGAAAGGCACAATTAATAATACCTGTTAAGTGATTAATTTTGGGTGGCAAGGTGAGTAACCCTGAAAAACAGGTTATCCTCGCAGCATGCGACATTGCAATTGACCCCAAGCTATGACCCCTTAAATGAATTTCTTCTGCCTGGACTTTAGTCTCGGACAACAAGTTCGGCATGAATTGTGCTACCGCTTCCCTAGCAATTTTGGTAAACAGCAGCGAGGCCTCGTAGGGCACAAAACGGTATAATTCTGACTATTTAAATGGAGGGATGCTTATTCTTTACTTCCAATGGTGGATGTTTCATGGTCCTGTCAATGATTCTTATTGAAACAATGGAAGGCAAACGTTTAACATAATATGAGAGTATGAATAATCCATTAATTGTCCAATTGAACCAAATATTGCATTGGTTTTGCTGAATGGTACTCAGGATAGCCAGATATACTTAGCCTGGAATGGTGTTGAGATAAACACCAAATTCCACAAGTTAAAGCTTTTCTATCTAAAATGTTTATTGCTATAGTTAATTGTCCTGAACACTAATTGTTCTTGTAAAAAAATGTATATTTACAGGGGACAACATAAGAATTCCAAAATGTAACTTGGTCTAGAATGAAATACTATAATTAGAAAAAAATCGGTAGGTAATTCAAATATTATGCAGTGGTCCGTTGAGGTTTTTCCTCCATATACCACCATGTCTTTGATGTTTGTCTTTATAATTTGAAGAATGTAAATGTCAATCGATATAGGTATATGTCCTGCATTTTGGAGCATATAATTTCCATCCGTTAAAAGCTTCCCGATAAAATTTGGTTTCGTCTGTGATGCTTTGGGATGTCTGTGATTTTATGAATTTTAAAACAGACGCTGCGTGGCCTTCTGTCTTAGGATGTAATTCAAGTGGCGGTGCTGAACAAATATAAATATGGAAATTTCCATACATTTTCAGGTCCAATATTAATTGTATAATAGTACCTGTCCAACAATTTATTTTAATTTTCAAAGAAAGTAAAACTCTCGCAACATTTGACGTAACGATTGACCCCAAACTATGCCCAATTATGTAAATTTACATAAATGAGTATGTACTCCCTCCACTGTAACCTTTGTTGCTCGGAATAGGTTGCCACTCCTCCTACAATTTGTGTGATCAGAAATGCTGGCTCATTAGTGTTCCGCAGGATATTAAACGATCCACAAGAATGCACAGCGAAACATTTCAATGTCATAATTGTAGCACGTTTATTTTCCTAGTTTGTGTCTTCTGTCACGCAGAAGAGTAATATATTTAAATATCCAAAAGATAAACTTCAATTTTGTTACAACATAAATTATAACACGTTTATCCTTTAGTTAAGTTTGGAAATGTTTGCATTTCCACTTACGTGTTATAATGGTGACTATACACATAAGTGGAGAAGTATTTTTTTATTTACGGTCAAGCGTGCAGGTGCATGATTCAGTCAATGCTTCATAAAGACACGATGGAAGACAAAATTTAACTTAGAATCTGTATGTATTAATATCTAAATGGATTATATATTGCGTTGTGTTTATTTAGTTGAATCGTATACGGGATGGTCAGATATATTTTTTTCCATGTCGTTAATATCATCAAAAAATTTAAATTAAATTGCAAATTAAATTGCATTTACGTTGCATCAACAAACCAGTTAAAGCTTTTCTCACTGAAGTGTTCATGGCAACAGGTCATTGTCGGTGAACGGAATTGTACTTGCAGAAAATGTATATTTACATATTTACATATTAGGGATCTTCAATTTTCACTATGTAGCAAAACATTTAAACCACCCTGTATATATGCTATATTTACATATGTAATTTGTTGATTATATCCTTTATTCAATTATAATACTAAATATTGCACATTAAATATTTATTAAATTCGCATAATCTTTGTTCAATTATGTAAATGAATTATGTGAGAAAATAAATAAAATTATACCACAAAATTGTGTTCAGAAATATTTCGCGATGTAATTTCATGTGCTGAACGAAAATGCAATGCAATGATTATTAATATATGCCAACCTAACGTTATTAATTTAAGCAAAAATAGATCCAGCAAAAAATACATTAATTCCACAAGTAAGCAAATTCTTACTCAATTGATAAACATTGGACATAATTATATAATTAAATAAGTTAATTTACAAAAAAATAAATTATTTTGTAAATATAATCCAAATGCAGAAAAATAAATGCAAGTCAAAGTACATAGGTGCCAGTGTTGTAAATAGATACGTAAGCTATCGCATTTTTGCTGCCAAAGATTTTGCCACCAAATTTATCATCTCCAAAACTTGAAGGAAAACTTTATTCCATCGTAAATTTACAGCTCTTCATATGCCAACTTTCATTTTCAGCTAACTCTCACCTTGCAAAATCTGTCAGTTGCAACGGAAATATTGCAATCATTTAGAATCAGGTGCCCAAATAAATATCCAATTTTTACATAATTTCCATTTTTGTCAAGACAATGAAATAGCATTGTCAAGTTTTTGTAATTATTTTCATCAGTTATTCTGCAGTTTTAGTGCGTTTTGCATCGATTCCCCAAATTGTTTCGCATCATTTTGGACAACCAATTGTTCTATATTAACAGTGTTCCCTATTCCAAAATTGTAGTACTTTCTCGATCTATTTGCACAATTAATTCGTACCATCTCCGCCACGGATTGTTCGTCACATGTGGTGCGCATAATTTATTCAATAATGGTCAAGATTTTTAATTAGCATAAATTCATGCAAAAAATTCGTTAACAGAGAGACGGACAGACAAGAATAATTCGATAGCTCCGGTCCCGATCAACAAAGGCTATCACTTTTACGCAAAAGTCATACGGTTAAATTGCAGCAACTGATGGCCGGCAAAAACCCGTGAAAAGATACTAGATATTTAACGTAAAATAAACTGTCAATATTGCATAGAATTGACAGTCATATTCATGCAATTTAGCCTCAAGAATATTGCGTAGAAATAACCGTCAAATTAATGCAATTTATAGCATAGAATATTGCGCAAAAGAAACGAATAATTTGATGCAAAACTTGCAGTTAAACTCCATGCAATTACTGCAGTCAAATAACACGAATTATTAATTTTTATCAAAATCATTTATTTCATAACAAAAATTATATTGTTACATTATACAAGGGAATGCAAATGTTTTCATCTATTTTATCCGACGGGAGTAACCAACATTTCTTATCAATATCATTAATACCTATTATGGTTACGCTATTTGATAATTTGCTAACTTTAATTATTCCTAAAATTTTACTTTCACACGGACAAGTGAACAAGTTGTCCGAGTGTTTGAATTTTCTACAATTTATATGTTTTTTATCTTTACTTATACTACTTATAACAACTACTTTCCCATCCTTTAATATAAAACAATGATCTTTTCCGTTCGATTTTATAATACAGTGTCTATTTAAATTCACAGGGGACTGGTACTTATGATTTTCTCTCTCAGCAGTGCGATTCACAGTTTGCTCAAAAGGTATATAGTGAGCTCGTAGCGAGCGCTTTATTACTTGCATATTATTTTCGAAATCGAAAGCACTAAAAGAATCTAACGGGCCATGCTTTAAAGCGTCATCACTAATATGTATAAGAGAATGCATATTATATGATAAGAACTCTTCTTCATATAAATTGGGAACATTTTTAACAAACTTCAATAAAAGCTATCGTGCATAATCGTTCCAATTATTTGCTTGCGCCTTGGTAGTTATAAGAATCGTGACTGCTACGCAAAGATTTAAAAAATGTGTATACTTTTTCGGCGACAATAATCCTTTTAAAGCGACGGGTCCTGTATAAAGAAGAAAAGTTCTAAACTCTGTCGCTTTCCATATATCTAACTCTTTTACTGACCTCGGCTTACGACAAAATTCTTTAGGGCAACTATGCGAAAATAATACTAATTTACTTGATAAAGTTGAAATATCACGAGAAGATAATTTAAATGGCAATGGACCTTTTACCCAACTTCTTAATAGTTTTCTAACCACACCTAAGCAAATGAGGTGCATGTAGTCAAGAGGAACCGAAGAAATCATCAAAATTTTAAGCTCCGTAAACGGGGAAATGCCTACATGGTGGTGTTTATCTTTTTGAACATAAAAATCTTGATCTGTCCTAAGTGGACTATCGAATGTTCTGAAAATTACACGTCCCTTCCAGAAACCTGGATCTATACATTTCTCGCATCCATTGTATGCATTATGACTTTTACATTGCTTTAAAAAACTCCTGGCTGGCGCATCAGCTTTTATTAATGAAACCTTACAAAATATTTTCAAATTATTGTAACTAATCCCAACTCGCAAACTTTTTAACTCTGCTATCAAATCCATCAAGTATTCGTCAATACTTTCTGGTTTTGTCTTGCCATAAAATAAACCCACGACAAATACGCCGTACGTACTTTCTTCACACTTTGCTTGAATTGGCCAAAACTGGTTACTGTTACTCTTAGAAATGGGCAATCCATCAAAACTAAATATAAGGTTTAATTTAATTTCGCTACCAGAAGCAAGAATACAATTGGAATCTATTTGCCGTTTTATATTTTGAATAACATCAAAGTGTGCATATTGACCCTGACCGATAGTTTTCATAGAGTATTTAATTGAGTTTTTAAGCAATGTCCTACTATCCAATGGAAGAAATCTAAATTCTTGATAAAAGTTAAATATGCGTAGAAGATCGTTTAAAGCTACTCCCGTTATGTTATGTCGAAGCGACCAGTCCCTCAAGTCCCGTGTTAAATCTAAAATATTCCTATCATTTTCTACTACACCATTGTCGCTTAGTGAATCGGAAACTAATGGCTCGTCACTATTATGGATAACATTACTGCTTCTATCATTATTGCTAATATTACTACCTGAATCGCTATCCTCAACGACAGAATCACATATATCTAAATTTACAAGATTATTACTAATAGCAGGTATGTTTTTTGCACGAGTGAGATTCTCTCTAACCCGTTTTGCAATTATTCGCCTAATGTTTCTCGGTGATTTTCCATCTCGATCCATGATTATGATGCAATTCCCGAGGGAGCGTCGTCGTTGCACCTACTTTTTGAAGAACGAAACCAATTCATTGCTGCAGTTTGAATTATATCATCGGTGGGAATACGGCCGCTGGGATTTTTGGGATCGGGAACGGACTCAACCGTAAAGACGTTTCGCACGGTTTCTGAAATTTGCAATCCAATTAAACATTAAATAGAGACCAACAATTAGAAAATTTTCTTCATTTTAGAATATATTTTAGCACCTTTTACGACTTCCAATAGTTTTAGGTTTTTCATCGATGTCTTGTTTCCTTTACCCGTAAAATTAATTCGCCTGCCAAATTCATTCGTAAATAATTTTTTAAAGATTTTTCTAGTGCTCGCCTCGATCTGTGTCGCAGTTGAAAATGCCAAATATTTAACCTAGTATCAAATATAAGCTACGATACGACCGTATACGATTTTTTCGACGCCTACAAGGAGAACAGTGGCGAAAGTGACGGATTCGTGCGTCACTAAAGTCGTCACAACGTGACCAAATTTCATTTTTACATGGAAATTTTGCCACATCATGGGAATAGTATTCAAAACTACGTCGAATCTAGATATATAGTAGTTATGCTAGTAGGTCCGGGGCACTCAAAATCTTCCCTCGTTAGTCGAAATGACAGAAGGACACCACGATTCTGTAAGTCATTACTCAGGCTGATAGTCCGAATTTGTTGCCTATCAAAGTCTATTACGTGGAAATAAATTGCCTAAGTATAGTCAGGGTTCGGAAAACCCCGGGGTTTTTGTAGGAAAAACCCAACCCCGTGGGTTTTTCAGGGGTTTTTGAGGTTTTTGTGGGTTTTTGTAGTTTAAGGGATTTTATTTGAATCTGCCTCAAAATCCTACAAAAACCCGCAAAAACCCCATTAAGCATTAGGGTTTTTCCACAAAAACCCTAAAAACCCACAAAAACCCCAAAAACCCACAAAAACCCCAAAAACCCACAAAAACCCCAAAAACCCCAACCCACAAAAACCCGGGGTAGCGAACCCTGAGTATAGTCCAATCTGACGACAACAAGAGAATATAGTAGTTTACCGATGTCACGATTCGGGACCTCTGCAATCTTTTATGTTTGCAACTCACGAACGTGAGGCTTAATAAATATTTAGTAGATTTAGTATAGGGTGGGGTTTGAGTTACGTACGATATAATAGAATTTTTCGAGAAGTTAATATTTGGTAAATCTCCAGCGCGTACAAAATCATTTCCTTTGAAACTTAACCAAATACGGTAGTCACAACATGGAAAATAATTGTAGTCAGATAACTAACGTATATTTGTGTATTATAAAATTTATAAAATTTATGAAATTTTCGGTACGTCCAATAGTTTAGTGCTGCATAGTGGACAAGGGTACAGTAATTCTTATGGATTTGTCGAAATTATAATTTGGCAACATTTCATTTTCAACTCAACGAATGATACGGATTATGTATTGCCTACAATTATCAGGATAAAAGCAAATATTATACGAAACCAAAGAACATTCTCGAAAATACAGTGAGAACTTGCGAATTTTTTAGTATGTGTCCTATTTAATTGTTATAAGCGTACTTTAAACTGTATGTTTCTATGAGCCCACTTTATAAACTGACTGCATCAATTTTTCATTTCCTTACCATTGCACTGTGAGATAAAGACCACCCTGTAGTTAAGGTGGACGACCTGGAAACATGGCAGCAACTAGTTTTAATTACAAGTACATTTGCACTTACATAGTTTAGGCAGACGCAAATAACTTTTATAGCGGCACACTGGATTTGACTTAAAATGTTCCCGATATTAATTTCCCACCTCCTGTTATTTTTTGCATCCACTACGTTCTGCAAAGACATGCGTCTTATCGGTAATTTTGGACAGTTTGGTCCCTGCGTAATGAAAGTCGTACGATTAGGCAACACTACAGAATCCTTCGACCTCACGGAAAACCTCATCCATGCCAATCATTCAGCTAGCTTGATTTTTACAGTCCATGGCCAACGAAATTTTGTAAGCCGAGATATTGAAGAGGATAGGATGTCCCTTGACTTTAGATTCTATGAGGTCTGCACGGTCACCGTTTTTACAAAGTTTGAAATCCAAGATAACTACTTTCGAGAGCAATACTACCTTAACACAAGGGAGGCTCTAAAGGTCACCGAAATTCTCAGTATTTATTTTAATTTGTCAATTGCCCCCGCAGCAGGTAATATTCCTAATTGGGTTGGACGATACCCGTGTGCCGCGTAGAACTTTTGTTGTGCTAATAAAAATAAACGGTCATGTTTCCGGCTCGTTTGGGTTCACTGAAATTGGTTGGTTTTTCATCTGTACTTACTGCAGAAACGTTTATCAGCCGGTTCAGTTTCGGGCGGTAACAATGAATGAACTTCGTCCAGAGTAGCGAGCCGATTTTCACATTGGGGTTAAAATCCGGCCGTTTAAACCGGGCTCACCTTGTGGCAAGGGGCAATATTACAGAGCACCTCTCGGAGAACCCGGTCACCCAGTAGAAATCCAGTATCGAACGATAAAAAAGAGTTTAAATGTGACCTTCGCCCTGCTCTCTCGGTTTGATAGATACCATTACCGTTGGGGTATATATGACCAAGAATATTTACAAGTTAAGTACTACTACGCCGAAATTAATATGATGCACTCATTCCGGAATGAGGGCTATAGCGCGATATATTGTGATTTTAACGTTTGGTCGGAAAATTCAGATTTCACCGTTTGGATTTCAGCCTTTGCTCCAAACGTGGCTGGGCATATTAGGGGTCATCGTAATTGTGGTGGGGGTAAAACTTTTGGAGGATACCTTTCCACGTCCTAAACTTGGGATTAATTATCAATCTCTTAAATCTGTGGGGCTATCAGTTTTTATGGTTTGTGCGACGTTTGTAAGACAAATGCCAAGTGCTAAGGGTTTTTCAGTGTGGGTGAACATATGCCTATTTTTCACTACTTTCATGCTTCTGGCTCAATATGAGTTTTACCTAACGGGAAATCTGGTCGCTCCACCGCCAAGATATTTGGCACACTTGACGAATTTTTTGCCAAACACTATACCCTAGTCTACGCATCGAAGAAACAAGACGGCCATGTGTCTGTCCAGACTCTTGTACAGCAAGAATTTGCAGTTAGGAAATTGTGGAAATTTTCCCATCAGAAAACAATCACTACTGGGTATTGTATTTGTTTATTAATTATCAATTTTATGAATATTCTTTGCAATATATTACACATATATACATAAGTAACCCTGCAGAGGGGAAAAATTCCATGTTGACCTTCTGAGAGAATGACCCAGAATTTTTACCTGTAGTGCACCTTGTCGGACTACAAATATGTCAAAAATTAGTATGGGTTAACCACTCCTGGTTTAAGAATTCTTAATTTATTTGATATTACGTTCCGAGCTGATACCTCAGATACATAGTGTATGTATTAACCTCAGCTCAATTTAATGATTTTCTAAGATTGGTCGGTATCGATTACATATTTCAAGTTTTTATGTACATATTACGGCAGCCATGTAACGTATCCCAGTCACCAGAACATTTTTACGGGGTTAGTCTTTAATTTCCGTAAGAGTTAACACAAAGGCGTAGGGGACCGAGGCCTCACTGTTAACTCTTACGGAAATTAAAGACAAACCACGTAAAAACGTTCTGGCAACTGGGATACGTTACATGGCTGCCGCAATATCATCGGGGGATCGGAAAACGCTGTTTTTTTGGACAAACCCCAACCCCACCGAGTTTCCAACGTTCTTGTAGATTTTTGGTTTTTTGTTGGGTTTTCTAAGATTTCTGGGCGGGTTGAAACAAAACTATTCAAATTGCTAAATACATCAAAACAACTTGCACATTTGAATTCAGAATGAAATTCTGAACATTCTCATATGTATGCGAATTTAACTTATCAGTGAAAAGTTGCAGTGTAACACGGTTTATTTATACAAACCATCCAAGTGAAATTTCGAAAATGTTCAGAATTTCATGCTGAATTCGAGTACTGAATTAGTTTTGATCCATGTACTAGGTATGCTGCATATTCTTACAAAACCCCACAAACCCCCCCCCCCCCCAACCCACAAAAGCCCGAAGTAGCACACCCTGCATGTCATAGGGAAAGTGTTTCAATTTGAAATATAATTTCTTTATATAAACTGTATAAAGGAATGGGATAATGTAAAATACTGAGGGCACCTGAAATTCGAGTTCGCTGAATTAAACTTCGATTTCATGTTGAAATAAGAGTGATATCCAAATCCATTTACAGTGTTAGCCTAAATCTGGTTGTAACTAATGCTTTCTTCTTTATTTTTTATGAGACACGGATGGCAAAGTGAGACTTCATACATAAGAAAATCCAACCCTCACAAGTTCTTCTTGCATAAGGATAGGATTGGTGCGTTCTACTTGTTTGTGGAACTACAAAACTGGGTTCTGCAAGGGGAATACCATTGTTTTCTGATTCCTGATATTGCCCTGACTCGACCAATATTTACTATTTTGAACAACTTATTAAGAGCTGAGATCGGGCACGGTATTAAATCCCTTGAGATGGGAGGATTCCCCAAAAAGTGGGAGCGAGATATAATGAATTTCTACGAGGTTAAGGCAATTATATGGCCGAAAATGAAAGTGGCCGTACATTTCAATTAACACGCTGTCACCCTTCTTCATAAGTATAGGGGTAACTATAGCCTTGTTAGGGCTTCTTGGTATAACCGAAATTATGTCCGATCAGGGAATGAGGGCAAGACTGTCTGGCTGGATGAAACATTTTTGCACAGTAGCTAAAATGTATGTCTTTGTTGGATGTAGTAAATCCTATAAACATTAGAAATTAAATGGTAAATAAGGTATAATTCTAACAATATTTAATTTTTCATAATGAAAACTACTAAATGTGTGTATGTGCTATATATTTTTGTATGAGCCTATTACAATGCGTGCCATTTTGCACCACATTATACATATAAGAGAAAGCAGAATTGTATATCTATATTTATTGTGTTGTGGAGCACTGTATTCGGTCTTAATCAGCAATTTATTGAAAAAATTCATAAATAATATGTACATACACGGAATAAATTGTATAATTCATACTCCATACTTACTCCAATGTAAAAAAAATATTGCGTTTTTTTTAGTTTCAGTCTACATTACAAGCTATTTTATCGTAAATTGTCAAGTTGATATCAGTTTACATATTTGATTAGAAGAATTTAATATAAATATGTACTCATTATCCTCAGTTAAACACGCGTCACGTACATATGTATGTAAATAATTTTATACATCATATTTACAAGTTCCCCGACCACCACACTGGTTTTGAAGCTTTGTCATAAATTACCAAGTTGCGATCATCCTGAAACACCATTCGAAATCCGGAGCCGTGCGTTCCAGTGTGGAAACGAGGTTTACCCGCGACATCATAAATTACAAAGTTCCCATCGCCTTGAAATACAGCAAGGTGACCGACACCAGTCGTCCCAGAGTTCCATTTTGCTAAATTATTGCCATCATATATGACAAAGTTGCCGTCCGTTTGAAATACCAGTCTTCCAATTCCAACGCGACATTTGTATCCTTCCGGGAATGTGAATGGGCGTTCAAAATTACAGGCGGCATTGCTTCCTTCGAAAGAAATCAAGAATCCAAACACGACCAGGATAACGAGCTGTGAAGACTTCATTGTATTTGAAGCAAATTACAATAATTTCTGAAAAACAGTAATACCTGTAATTAAAATAGTGAAAATTAAAAATTTCGAAATTAGTGATTAAATTAATTCAGAGCCTTTCAATTTTAGTTAATTAGTAATTGACAATTAGAAGAAAAATATTTCGTCGAATTAATTGGAAATTAGTAATTAAACTCAGGGTGCTAATCAAGCCAATTAATTGGTGATTTTTAATGATTTTCTAATTAATTAGTAATTGATAATTAGCTTTGGTAGTACAACTTAATGTTAATTAGTAATTAATAATTAGTTTAATCATGCAATTTAATTAGATAATCAATTAGACTGACAAATTATTTAGAAAGTGTTGAATTAATTAAATTAGAATTACCGTATTACATACAATTTGTGAGCAATGTTCTGACTTATGTGGTGACAGTGAGAGTGGTTCAGCTTAACATAAATTATATTGTGGCAAAGCACCCATTTATATTGCTCCAGTAGAAAAACATGTTTACTTGCAATGAATAATGCAAATAAAGATAAAGAAATTTATTCGTATGTATTTAAAGTATAAATTCTGTGAAATCTGATCAATTTTGTTTATTTGTAAACAGTTTTACACGTATGCAGTTTGTTTGTTGTAGTTTTTATTACGTGGATTTTATTACGTTGTACGGATTCCTGTATCCGCAAAATTTAATGACTCATTTTTTTCACAAGTTTTTACTTACATATTTAACATGCCTGATTTAATTCTTGCGTATTTAACCAATCATTTGTTGATTTCACAAACATTATGAACCCAGTATAAATATTTTTAGTAGGTTATATAAGTAGATTTGCTTACTATTTATCATAATGTATACTACTTAGTAATCAGAGTTTGTAAGCGTCATATCTGTCCTTGTGTATAATAAATATAAAACGGTTTTATCCCATATCTTGCAATATTAAACTAAATCAATTATATACATGCATACCTAAATATACCTTTATATTCATATATATTTATATTCATACTTTATATGCATACCTTTATATTCATACAATCATTCATGGAGTTCATATACGTATAAGAATAACACAGTCTGGCTATTAAGTTTCATAAAAACTGTGCAAATTATAGCGCATATCTACATGCAAATCCGCCAAATAGGTTACATATTTCCTCATTTCAAGAACATAGTATTATATATTTCCTAAGTACGAACTAAATATCTCACGAAAACGTAAAATTTCCTCGTATACTCTAAACCATCCACACATTTCCAAATAAGAGATGAACAAATATACGATAAATATAATCTTCTTATATAAATATTGGTCTTCCAACTATTGAATGACTTGATTAGTACTAAAGTGGATTAATCGTCACTTATGTAAATATTTAATTGTTTTGCAATATATTATATGACTATATACTTCTGAGAATATGTGTATATTATATATACATATTCTCAGTAAGCGATTATGTCCATTCTTGTAACATACTTACATATTTTTTTCCTTATAAATATATACCTACAGTACCAGCAAACTTTCCTTGGAAATAGAGCATTCAGAATTATTTATCTTACAGATAAATAAACCGTTGCAAGGGAATTGTAGCAAAGGGGTGAAGCCATACGGTCATGGCATGTCAAAACTATGTCGATTTCTGCAATCCCCGCCTAACTAACTAACTAAAACGGTGGAAACAAAAAAATTCGACATCTTTGACCGTTGGCGTAATCACCGTGGCGTCGTGACCTTATGACATAAAACGCCCATCTTCGAACTCATCCGTACCTCAAAAATTGGAAACACTTTGGCGAAAATTGCATGTCGAAATTAGAATCCGTTCTAAAGTGATCGTGTATACGGACGGACAAGACATTTCTATGAAGGCATTTCGCTTCACGTCACCCCTTAATAAACCGTTGCAAACGAAATGTAGCAAAAGGGTGAAAACACACGGAATTGTCTTTGTGGCACGCCCACAACGCCTTTCTGCACTTTCCCGTCATTGTCTCACATCGCCCCACGTCTCAATTCGCCCCGTTTTGACACCCCCACCCGCGTACTTCAAACGTACACGACAATACCTTTCAATAGACACCCCAAATGACAAAAGTCATTTTTTCGACACCTCCCACACGGTCATGGAGTCGTCGCCCGTCGAAATGATGGTGATTTCTGAAATCCCCGCCAAAAAATACGTCTAAACCGGTGGCAACAAAAAATTCGACAATTTTCGACTTTGGCGTCGTCTACACGGTCACACGGTCATCGCACGTCGAAATGATGGCGATTTCTGAAATCCCCATCCAAAAATACGTCTAAAACGGTGGAAACGAAAAATTTGACATCTTTGACAGTCGGCGTCATCACCGTGGCGCCGTTACCTGACGCCCATCTTCGAACTCATCCCGTCCCCAAAAATTAGAAACACGTTGGCGAAAACCGGATGTCGAAATTCCAATCCGTTCTAAAGTTATTGTGGATACGGACGGACGGACGGACAGACAGACACACAGACAGACAGACAGACAAGACATTTCCATAAAGGGGTTTTCACCCCTTAATAACGACCCAAATGCATGCGTTCAAGAAAAGTACATATGTACTCACCCATTAATAAAAACCCAATCCAAATTAATCATGCCGTCAAACTAAATAGGGTAATTGACTCAATTAATTACTAAATAGGTACAAATATCTCCAGTATTAAATTTACTACAGTATCACTTGAACCACAACATGTGTATTCATTTATCTAGAAAAACATACATATTACAGAGTGGATAACAATATGATAATAAGCGTACTATTTCTTTCTAAAAATCCGTTCATATTAATACATCGAGGAAAAAATGGTTACTACCAAACATATTTCCAAACCCCTCTATATCATACAGGGTGGTTAAAATGTCACGCTACAATGGATAATTTTTCGATGGGAAAAACAAGTAAATGTAATGTCCATTATTTTTTCCGACATTTTGTCTCTAAAATTCAACATTTCAAGAATTTTGTCATAAGTTTTGATAATAATTATTAAAATCTCAATCCCAAATCTTGTAAGTAATGGAGATTTAGGGACTTTTCCCATTGAAAATTTTTCCATCGTAGCGTGACGTTTAAACTACCCTGTGTATTAATAGCCTCGTAAATCTTTCAATTTTAAACCATTGTAACAGCTATCTTGTACAACTGTGTATATAAATATTCTTCGTGTCTTACGTAATTACCTACTAACTAAAAAACACATGTTGCCACTGTTCCAGAGGTCGACGCCGACAAATTCTCGGCCGCGGGGGTGCCTGTTTTTTGTGATTTCTCAGCGGCGCGGGGAGGCGTCGTAATGCTAAAGGAGTAGGAAATCAAAGTTTTCCGCGCGTAAAACGCTACCGGCGTTCGGCGGCGTACGTTACGCGGCGGCGTACGATCGGTGGCGGCGTCGACCTCTGCCCTGTTTATGAAACATATCGAATTAACGTATTCATGGAAACCTGCCAATTTATTTGTGGCCAAATTTTTACTGGCTAAATAATGTGCGGTTTATTTAATTAACTGTTTTCCCTATAAAAATGAATAGTACTTAAATTTCCATCACACCATAACTCATGTAGCACACGAAATTTGTAATAACTACAAAGTAAAAATGTTTCACCACCACTGCCTTGTCCTACTTTCCCTTCAATTTCTTCTTCTCCACCAAGCCAAAAGTACATAAATCTACAATTTAATTCTTAATCAAAGATACATAAATTTCCATCCTAAATATTATTAAATTTGTTTAACAGCCGCCGAAGTTGAAATTGACGCCACTGCCGCCGTAAAATACCAATCTTGCTGCGTAGCAGACCTTCGCGCCACGATAGCAAACTTCTACAACAAAATGACCGCCCTTTATGGCGACCCAGCTTTCCCACCGCCACAAAAGCTAAAGATCTTCCTTGAAGTTAGGGTGAACGATACAGGAATCGGGATGAGTAGTTCGAATGGTGGAACTGTCTTGAAAATCCATTGGTATGGTTCCGAGCATACCTGTTCACTTTCATTCATTCACGTGACTGATTATGATCGAGAATGACAGTTAATGAAAATGAATTTCACGTGATTTGAATGAAAGATTCAGTCATTTCAGATGAGTGGCTGTGAATGAAAAGATTTCTTACTCATTTCATTTTTCGCCCCATCGTCGTACTAATTCATTAAAGAACTAAGTGCAGTTGATGCTTAGTTCAGGAACGACCTAAGTGCAGTCGATGCTTAATTCAGAAAAGAACCTAAGTGTACAGAAAAAAAGTAAAAAAAGACCTATGTGCAAGTATGTATTTACTTATGGCTAAATCCCGTGATATATGAAAAATCGTTTTGGCAAGATATAGCCATAAGTAAATACACACTTGCACATAGGTCGTTTTTTACTTTATTTCTCTACACTTAGGTTTTTTTCCTGAATTAAGCATCGACTGTACTTAGGTCTTTTCCGAATGTACGACGCCATGCTTCACATATTCGGGGCCAAGTAAGAAATGAAGTGAGATGAAGTGAAATGAAATGAGTTTGAAACAAAATTACTGACAATGCGATGGTGTGAAGTGTAACTCTCCGATTTGGTTGAAATTTTGAAATTATGTGTTCCATGTCAATACAACCAACGTTTCTTCAGACAGTTGGTGCGATGGTCAGAATTTGTCAAAATATTTGAGGACAAAGTTGAAAAATAGGCGATTTTTAGCACGGGAAGAGAATTGAGATTGAGTTTGCTTCCTGTGCCTGTTGAAAATCGCCCGTTTTTCAACTTCTTCCTCAAATATTTTGACAAATTCTGACCATTGCATCAACTGTCTGAAGAAACGTTGGTTGTATTGACATGGAACACATAATTTCAAAATTTCAACCAATTTGGAGAGTTACATACACTTCACACCATCGCATTGTGAGTGTGAATGACAATCTTGCGTCATAAAATAGGATGACTGAACTTTGAATGAAAAACGTTTTTGTGAACAGGGCTGGTGGCGAGGATTACATCAATACTATGGTGAAGAGCTGGCTTCTCTCTGCATCTTTCGGGCCGATTGCAAAATTCAAAAACGACTTTACCGACAGATGGCTGCGGGATTGCTTCATCAGTTACGCCTACATTTATCTCCGCGATGGATCAGATTCAACCGATAAGAAGCGACCCAATACGTCCGATCGAAATAAGGACCCGAGAAGTGTCCCCGCCAAAGAATGCGCGTACTGGATGAACTATGTCGTTACTAAAGTCGACGGGAAACCGGACGTGGGGCAGAAGGTTTTTAAAATGGCGCGGGATGGGAATTATACCGACCTGGTGTGGATTGATTTAACGGGGAAGGATGTCAAACAACTTTGGGACGAAATGAAATAATAATGTGTCTATAAAAAAATATTCAAAAAATATATTTCTGAAATCCAAATATTTTATTCTTTATGGGAAAATTATCGTATTTAAATAATTTACTAAATCCCGATAATGTTAATAAATTTTAGGCAAATTTGTTTCTCCTTGTTCACAGTTTCATATTTAAAAAAATGATACCTACTTAGGGTTAGTCGAGGTTGACAATCATTTATCGGTGACACCTTTTTGGAAATATCTGGATAAATTTGTAGGCTATGTATCTATTTTTTTCATACGATGCATTGCATTACATTGGATACAGGTGTATGTACGTTGGCATGATTTGATCCACTTGGTGGATTGCGTAACTCACTTTCTTCGGTAGCTAAAGAGAAAGAGATGTGCAGTACCATGTGCAGAACTAGGCTTATATAATACTTAAGAAATTTATCTAAATAACATATTGTTCAAATGATCATTCAGGGCGGGATATTTATAGTTAGTTAATTACGTAGGTTGCAATGAAGTATTTAACTTGAATCAAATTTTACAAGGGCGATGTGTTATTGCTTCACATTTCCATGACCTTCGCTTCTTCTCGTTATACTTCCAGGCACAGATCAATCTGCTTAACCTTGAACAATTTCTACTTGATTAACTTCCACGCCTTCACTAGACACAGCGACATGGTTTGGTTTATACAGAAATTTTGCATGACCAGTGGAGTCCCTCTGTCGATGAAATTTGAGCCGAATTTGATCTTGAGAGTGCCACATGCATTCATCTCTCTCTTTAAGAGCGCCCTTTTTCCAATTTGATACCCAATTGTTTTTTGGCCCAAGGCATCCAGCACCCTTTGTGAGGAAACATTCACCAAAGACGCTAAAGTAATTACCAGAATGTTGTTTATCCCTGAAGTGATTACTAGAAGGGGGAATATTGCGAATCCAGGCAGAGCAATTTCTCTGTGCAAAGTTATGCAAACGTACAACGAGGATATTTGAATTGCTGGAATGCAGGATATGATCATAGGAACGATTCTCTCGGTGACGAAGGCGTTGAAGGATTTCTCCAAGATTTGGACATAACGGTACAGTCTGATGCAGGTTGTGAAGTCTGTGTCCTTTTCGATTTTTGAAATTTCCCTGAATATAAATTAAGTTAGCTGTGTAACTACATATATGTCGCTCGAGCTAATATACAGAAGTTTATCAGAGTAAAAATGAAAATTTCATAAGCAAATGCACGTATGTAGAGGATTCGTTCATCCAATAATTCAACCTAGTATTATTTACCAGCATATACAGGGTGGTTTAAATGTCAAGTTACAATGGAAGATTTCTCAATGGGAAAAATTCGCAAATCTCCATTAGTTACCGAAATTTAGCCTCTGAAATTCAATATTTTAAGAATTTTGTCATCATTGTCCATAAGTTTTTATAAAAATTAATCAAAATCTCAGTTCCAAATCCGTAACTATGTAAGGGAAATTTCGAATTTTTCCCATTGAAAAATTTTCAATTGTAACCTGACATTTAAACCACCTGTAAAAATAATCCAGAAATATATTAATAGTCGATGACCATTACGAATTTATTAATTATGCTGCTATCGTAAGAGAACATACAGGATCCAAGTAGTTCCAGAATATTTATTATGAAAGGCCATCCAAGTTTCGAACATGTGTACTCCAAGTTTTATTCCGTAACGTAGCGACATAGCTGGTGAACGCTCGCATGCTGCTAACATTGACAAGATGAAAGGTGGCGTGCATGGGAGAAATCGTAACAAAAGGAAGACCAGAATTGGGTATGAGAACACGCCAACTTCCACCAGGAACAGAAATATCTTGACTGCTTTAGTTCCCCTCGAGATGGGAATCTTTGGTAGACCTGTGTTTGTTTCGGGAACAAAATTAAGGTTAAATATCAATTGATTGCAATTAGGTTTTGCGAATTTATATACGATTTTTGCTCGTGAGCTTCCTAGAAAACTTTAATATTTATAAAAGCTAGAAATAGTCACTGGAATTTATTCGGTAGAAATTCTTTACATTACTTACTATCCATAATCGTTTCTTCAAAATCCAAAATAGCATTTATTATTTGAATGGGAGCTATATCTATGGAATAATTCCACCGTGGGATTCCGGCAGCCAGGGAGGCCAATAGCATTGCGAAACCTTGTAATCTTCCCGACATTGTTAACGGGCCGAAGCAAATGTTGAGAAACATTGCCGTGCAGTATATCGCTGTTAGGACGCATTGCAGTTTGAACATGCGAATTAGTCCGATCGATTTGGTTTTCACGAAACGTCCCGACTTTTTGTCAAATTCGAACGGGATGCATTTCAATCTGTGACACATCCTTACGTGGAAATTCAAAATGGGAAGAAATTCCCTTCGATACATTGTGTTCGTCTTAATTATTGATAAAGAATGGTTCACTGGGTGTTGATTTGTTTGTTGGATTTTCCGAGATAATTTAAAGCAACGTGCACGGAGTTAGATAGGGAATGCTGCTATCGATTAACAGAATTACCTGTAAATGAAATCTAAATCAGTTATTAAATCTATATCTAATGGCGAGGCATAACCACTTAAATATGGCAAGAAAGGGCTCCTACATACATATTGGCTGAAAGAAGCCTTCTGTCAGTACCATCCTGAATAATCCAAACGCTGCCATGCTGTTGAAGGATCAGACTTCTACATGGTTTCGCCTAAAACTGAATTATATGAAACTTTTCCCTTACCCTGTCGAATATAATGGGCTCATGAGCTAATAAAGGAACTTCAACTCATTTTACATTTTCTCTAACGCTTTTCACTGAATTTTACACATTGGCATGTAAAGTTCGAGTTAAAAATCATCCCTATGCACATTAATAAAAAATAGTGTCATTTTTCTACCACGATTTAATTGAATATTCATGCACAGGGAACCGATTTAAAAAGAAATTGTTATATATCATATCTGTAAAGTCTATGCGTGGCAATACCTGCTTACGCGAATGGATTAGAGTTATCCATTTATTCTGATTCGCATAAGTTGATTTCTGTAATCATTGCGAACCTTCGATATCGCACACTAAATCTTCAGCAGTACAAATGCCAAGAGTATTAATTATTAGACCATCAATTAAATTTTGTTGATGGCTTGCTGAGCACATATTTTCCATGAAGGTAGCCAGTAAATGTAAATAGATTCGACATTCAGTTTAGGTAAATTGTTGACGAGAATCTCTTTACACGTGGAGAAAAACAGGCCCGCATTTCTCATTTCGTATCCGTAATCTACATAATGCAAATAATGTAGCTGCCTGCGTACATATTTATTTACTGAAATCGGGTATAAAACATTTCTATTTGAGAAACCGAGACGAACGTCATGTATTTACATACATACTTATGTATCAGCCATTAATAAATATGTAATTATTTCTACGGAACATTCTCATACTCGAGGACTGGAGAAAATTTCTTACACGCAATTTCGGCCTTTTACTACGAAAAATAACTTTTTCGACCCAGTCCAACTTAATACCAATAAACAAATAATAGAAGAAGGATGGTGGGTCCCATCAAAATTTTTGAAATTTTTGTAAATAGATGGGGTGAAAACATAGCATTTTGGCTATTTCATTTGGGCTCACCCATAAAGATGGGCCGATTTTTCTAAAATATCCGTTTCCATTTTTCAAGCTCGTACTGCATGATTAACTGCGAATACTCATTAGAATTTTCTTAACCGAATTTACTATAGTAGGAAAGCCAGTTAAATTCTGCACAAAATAAGCCAAAACACGATGGACGAATAAAAGTCGTCTGGAAATGGTTGATGGAATGAACTGCAATTTTGCACAATTACTTATCACGGGTTTTCAAAACCTATATTTACGAGTTATCAGAAAATTAAGCCAACAATTGGGAATCACATGGCGCTCATCATTCCTTTGAATGGCCCGTGAAGAGAAAAATATAAATTTAGAAATGTTTTAAAAATCCCACCATCAGACCCAAATTGAAGAATTCAGTCATATTTTCAGGAAAAATTCAAAGTAAGCGTGTAGCACGGCGCTATGCTTTAGTTTTTAAAACCACTTTTGAAACCATGGAAGAATTTTAAAAGTAATTGAACTATTATTATGACAAAGCGTTCAATTTTCGTAAACAAATATAACCGGAAATCCAGACAGATGGTGCTTTTCATTATCTACGGAGGATGATAAGTTTACTCCCAGCTTTGTTCTAGTTTTATAACTCGTGCATTTTTACCCGCTCGGTCAAATGCCGACCCATATCCTTAATCCAAAATCTATATGCAGTTACGCCCACGTGACTGCTACGCCCACGTGGTCTGGCGGTCTTCCTCTCCATCCTTCCTATCCCCATTCCTTCACACTCACATTGGTTCTTCCCGTGAGCAGTCACCAAAAATTCTCCCTCCGGTCCTGAAGAAGAACGAAGGTTCGAAACGTTGACCATTGGCCCTTAAATCCGGATTCTACAGTTTACAGTGAGTCTCATCCCATTCCTTACTCCCAGTTATTCAATTAAAGCCCGTTTTGCCCGAATAATTTTGCTCTCTTTATTAATGACGTGTTACTTGGATTATATGGAAATTTTCCAAATAGGTTTCGTACTGCTGAAAGACCACTAAATGGTGCATAAAATGAAAAAGAACTGAAATCGCTATCATCACCGCTTAACCACGTATTGTAATTTTAATTTCGAGTTTAGCCTTGCCCGGACAATATTGTTCTATAGTGTATGCAATGCAAATTACATTGCCTTATGCAAGTTTTGCATATGCAAATGAGTTCGGCTGCGCCGGAAGTGGTGAGTGATTGCTCTCTCTCGGACAAAGTGACGCAATCCAGCCGGGGGACGTCGGAAAACCGACCCCAGGAAACGCATGAGAAATGAATTACAAAGTGGATCAACATTTAATGGGACCACTTTTTAACGAAGTGTTAACTACTCGCTAATACCGAAATAACGATTTATTTACATGGACACGAACAAATTACCAGGATTGTATCTGTAATATTTTTAACTGCCAACTATTCATTAGATTTGCAAGAATCCATAGGCATTTCATTTCGGCCTTTATTCCTGTGTTAAAAAATATCAGTTTTGAAATTCATCACAAAATTTGCAGTACACAAGCAGTACCTGCATGAAATTTATGTACCATTAACATATTAGTGATAACATCCAAGGCTTCGAAGTTTGTCAATTTGAGAACTAGTTCTGTTGTGAAATATGTTAATACTTATAAATTTTAAATTTATAAGATGCATTAATTATAAATTAATTACTAATTAAAATAAGTCATTTGGTATTTTGGAATCTCAAAACTAATAGTCGTAGAAAAAAGGATTATTATTTGTGGTACGTAGGTACATATTTATTAGAGAAAATTTATAAAGACTTGGAAATGTGCACAAATCTCCACACGTCCAGAAGTCACATCTGAAATCGCCGCCCTAATGGGAAGCGTACTTCCGGCCAATACATCATTTGGAACAATGGTGAACTTGATTACGTAAGTTAGTCCTGGCTGTACGGATGGGTTGTCCAGGTCAGTATCGATGATAACTAGTTCTCCAGTGAAATAAGTAGTTGTGACCCTGAGGTGCAGTTGGCTTGAGGCGGTGCTCGGGATCAGGTCTCCTTCAGCTAGGTATGGAGTGCCCGGATTCTAAAGTATTGGTCAAATTAGAGTTAAGGTCAGGGTGCATAAACATTTTGTTTATGCAACTTTGGGGAATCTTTTTAAAATTTAAACAATAGCAAGTTTTGAAGGCACTTAAAAAGCGTTGAAATTTGTACTTAATTTAACTCAGGGTGCATAAATATTTTTGTTGTCCGTGGCTTCTACTAAGGGGGTCATGCAAGGATTATTGTTTTTAATTAAAATTTCGGGAATTACATGTAATTTTGCCGTGAATTTGGTTAGTTGCCATGGAAAAATTGTATGCCTATCCCGAACTTTAAATTTTTTTGAAAACAAATTCATCCTTGCATCGTCCCCTTAGGAGAAACCACGGACAACAAAAATGTTGATGCAGCCTGAGTTTTAAGTGACATTTAATGATCAAATTAAGTACAAATTTCAACGCTTTTTATTTGTTATGAAGCGCCTTCAAAACTTGCTATTGTTTAAATTTAAAAATTTCCAAAAGTTGCATAATTAATGGACAGTCCTTTCCCTTCAACTCTTACCAGACGGCAAGTTGTTCCATTGCAATTTTCTACTCTAAGTTGCGTAAGCGTTCCTACACCGCCGCATCTCTCGTAACTAACGACTCCCCCAACCGCAGATCCCACCATGGATAGCAAGATAATTGCGAAGAGCTTCATGTTTCCTGGAAACTTAAAAAAAAATTAGTTCCTCTAAGTAAGCAAACTGGACGACCCTTTGCGAACGAATGCTGTAATCCACATTCAACACCGTACTTTTATACCTGTCAACACACTGCACTATGGGCCAGGGGACCAAAAATGTGGCCGTTAAGGCAGTACTTTGAATTGGCTACTCTAGTATACGATTATGGACTACACTACCATGTTGTCCTAAATGCATAATATTAAGCAAAAAGTTACACCCACTCCGGAGTACCAGGGGGGTAAACTTTACCAAACACATTGCGGAGATAGGGAAAAACGCCATTTAGCATTTCCGTCCATTTCCGTGTTTTGCAAACTTGCTTTCTATACCATTCGAAACCTTCTGGTGCGGTGAATAAATGCTGGTGCCGGAAACTGCCACTTTCGAATACAGGTCCAACCATACCCCTTCCAAGTCACATACATAACGAAATAAGTAAGGACTTAAATTGATGTCATTTAATTGCATTCGCGGTAAACATCATCATGCGACATATCGATTTGATGGGGACGATGAGAGGGTCCATCGACAGCCCATCCAGATCCAAGAACCACCCCCTCAGGGGGTGGGGCACTAAGTGCCCCCCATTATAGGTAAACCCTGGCATGCGACATATCATTTTCCTCGGTAGACCAAGACGATCACAATAAAAGTAACATTTCTAAACGTGGAAGCCACACCCCACAAGGGTGTGGTCAATTGGACCAAAATTTAGTTAGTAAATCCTAGCATGCGGCACATATGACTCGGTAAGTAGAGGTTAACAAAAAAATAAAGAAAATTCGAAATTTTGAAAGCACGCACGCAGGGGGCGTGGTAACAAGGATCTTTAAAACTTTTAATATGAGAAATACCTAAAATTGGGAAACCGCACCCCCAGTGGGCGTGATTCTAAGAAAACTTTCGGTTTTAATAAAACCATCCCCGGTGTTATATCACGTTCCTCAGCTCGACGAGGGGATCTCGACAGAATAATTAAAATTTATGAACCACACCCCCAGTGGGTGTGTCTCTAAGCAAATTGTCGATTTAACGAAACCATGTAATGTGATATATAATTTGTCTCAACTCGACGAGGGGATTTCGACAGAATTATTAGAATTTTGAAACCACGCCCCCAGTTGGTGTGGTGTTCAGCGACTTAAACTTGTGTTCTACGATTTTAAATTTCCCCCACACCGAAATAATACCACCTGTATTTTTGTTTCCATGAGCGCTAGTGTTTTCGGTTGTAGCGATTTTTGAGAGCATTTTCTTCTCAAATTTAAATTTGTCAAAAAGTTTATTGTTTTATAATTTTAACTCTACATCAAAAAGGAAAGAACAAAAACATTTTTTCTCAAAAATTACTAAAAATACAATTATAAAAATACGTTTCTAAAAATTTAAAACTGTGTATGATATTTCGCAATTTTAAAAAATGCAGCGAGAAATGTGAGATTTGTGAAAAATTAAAATTTTAAATTTTTCAAAGTGGGATTTTCTTAATTTACGCAATGCAATTGATATATATTGTCTAAATTCGCTCGTTTAGTTAAGAGAAATGATGTATTACATAACATGGCATGAGATGGTTTAGTTACAATCGAAAAGTCGCTGATGGTTGATTTTAGGCATTCCGTTGAAATCCGATTGTTGAGCTGCGAAAAATGATATAACACATGGCATGGTTTGATTAAAATCGAAAAACATTTTCTGGGAACCACACCCACTGGGGGTGTGGGTTTCCAATTTTAGGTATTCCGTCAAGTCCACCTTGTCGAGCTGAGAAAAATGATATATCACTTGATATGGGTTCGTTCAGATCGATAATTAGCTTAGAACCACACCCACTAGGGGTGCGGTTTCCAAAGTTTATGCATTCCGTCGAACCTACCTCGTCCAGCTGAGAAAAATGATATACCATATGACATGGTTTCGTTAAAACCGAAAATTTTCTGGGAACCACACCCACTGGGGGTGCGGTTTCCCAATTTTAGGTATTCCGTCGAGTCCCCCTAGTCGAGCTAAAAAAAATGATATATCACATGACATGGTTTCGTTAAAACCGAAAAGTCGCCGAGGGCCACACCCACTGGGGGTGTGGCGTGTGACTATTAAAAATTTCCTCACATAATATATGCCTTAGTTTATTGTTGCACGCCAATATCTAATTCTTATTTCTTCAAATTCGGCTTCTATATATTTTCGGCCAAAATTTATCAAATCTGGCCCACTGTGCACTGCTGGAATGAGTGATCATGAAAATTTTTTCCGTATGCGTACATATGTACTTCTCCAATGATTACTTGCGTTTGGTTGGTTACGCAAATTTAAAGATAAGTACATTATAAAATTAAGCTGATAACTAGTTAGGTACTTGATTAGAATTAAATTGCGATTCAACACCCAAAAATTTGATCTAAATAAGTAGACATATGTACATGCTGTGTGTAAATGATTAATTCTGACGTTTCAAATAATTCAAGTGCTACAACATGATTAAGAAGTATGCTTGAATGTAATGTTCCTCCGAATCATGGATGATCGATTGATTGATGATTGATGGATGACGGAGTTTATAAAGAATAATCAAATTTGCACACGGCTTTGCACCAATGAGGCAATGTGAACCAAGTGATGAAGTACTTATCATTCCGACACGCCGTGCCAAGCAAGTGGCAAATGAGAACTTGGTACAAGATTGATAATGTCATATCATAATTCCATTTGAGTAAACATAGTAAACATTGCACCGTGTGCAAATGCACTGGGTGCAAATTATAATTATACAATAAATTCAAAAAAGATTGCTTAGGTGAGACTAGAAGTGCGATTAAAATTTGGAAATTAACCACCGTTCTCAATATCAGAGAAAGTATTCGTATTCCTAGCACCATCGCGCTAGGAATAATTCCTTGGGCTTCGTAATTATATAAATTTGATTCTGATAGTACGAAGAAAGATTTTTTTTGGTTCTGATTATCTAATGGTGAGAAATTGAAATCCTAAGAAATTGGGATGGTAAGCAAGCTGGGGAACTTTACGAATTTGATTGTTTGTATATTTGTTCATCTAACTAGATATTTATAAATTAGAATTTGCACGAAGAAGTTAATCCAAGTGTTGCGATGCCAGGAATACGAATGCTTTCTCTGATGGTGGGGACGGTGATTTATTTTCATCTTTTAATCGCACGTCTAAACAATCGTTTTTTGGGTTTAGGCTACTCGTAACTTTTTACTGATAATTATTTACTGCATGCCAATTTATTTCATTTTTAATCGATAATTTTTCGAAATTTTTCAAAATATATTGACTTGTTTGTAACTTGTTTGTGTGGTCTTTTCTCTTTTCTCAAAAATTTCGCATTTTTGTTCTTCGTTCAACCATTATCAAAATCATTAGGGGATGCCTATTATAGCATCTCTTAACTAACTTTACAGTTGTTTTATGTTCTTGTCGTTAATCTAAATAGGCATGATTATATATCCTGAATATCAGACCCCATGAATATTGGAAATACTAAGCTCCACAGACCGCATTTTAGATATGTGTTTACAACCCCAACATTTCGAAGTTCATGTGGTTATAGTTAGGATAAGGTTTTGTGTTCCTTGTGAAGCAAGACAAGTTTTAAAATTTGCATCAAAATTGATTTGCTTCCCACTTTGGATTCAAACATAGCAACGCTACCTGGTTTCATACCACCGAGAAAACTTAGTCATTTCTTATTCGGTTTTGATCATGTAAAGTTTTGATTGAAGCTAAAAATACTTGCTTTATATTTTCCGAGCAGAATTGTCCATTAACCCCAGGAATTCTTTCTAATTATGCATAAATCAAATTCAACGTGGGTTTTTAAAACATATTTAGCTGAACAACGGACAGGATTTCTTGAGTGCTAGATCGGATTCGTCCGATTCGGATTCTACACGGCCATAATTGACTCTGGACCCTTATCTCATCAAAATCGGCTAAGAAATGGCAAAGTTATGGCTTCCGGTCACTTTTAAACTGTTGCTGGATGCTTACTCAGATAATTGTTTTTCCCACACCTAAGAAAAATCAGAATAAACATCCACCTGATGGATGACTGAAGAATAACACATTTTACAGATAATACATAATAACTAGGGTTGCCGCGGGTAACGGGTCGGGTACCCGTTACCCGCATACCCGCACGATTCTTGCGGGTACCCGTTATCTGCGGGTAGCGAGAACTACCCGCACGGGTAACGGGTAATTCAGTTTTTATTTAATTTTCGCCATAACCTAGTTCACAAAGAAAGTTAGCAGCAAGTTAGTCCGCATTTACCAACAAAAGCGTCAGTTTATTATTTGTCATTTTCCAGCAACAAGCGTTTATTACGAGTTTATTGTCTCTTTTTGGAAGCCAAAGAAGCATACGGTAGCCTCAAATACATTTCACGTCCATAAAATTTGGAGCAATTATTGTTTCTCAAGCATCGTTTGCCTGCTCTAAAATATCAATAATAATTTGTCCTGTATTTGTCTGTATTTATGTAAGACTGACCAGATTTTAATTTGTGCTTTGTAATTTGTGAAGATGAAAAACCTGAATCCGATAGAAAGCAAAAAATTTATTTGTAGACAATTCTTTTAATGAAAACTTCATTTCAATCAAAATTTGAAAAAATCAAACAAAAAATTGAACCTTTTTCATTCTATCGCAAGATTGCCCAGGAGAGTATATCAAAAAGTCAGGCCCAAAATTAGGAATAACATGGTACTTATCTTTTTGTTGAATCGATTCGAAGAAAAATATTGGCAGCAAAGTTTAATTTTTAAGTAAATGTTCTGTATCTTTTCCTCCACTGGACGAAAACCATGGTGGACTTTGAACACAGTTCCCCAATAGTTTCCTTTAAACGGGTCATTCAACGGAAAAATAAGTGTCATGTAATTCCTATTTTTTGGCTTAATATTTTGATATATGTACATAAATCGGTATATCTAGCTTGAAAAACGATCCAATGTAAGCCAAAGATTTTGGTTCCAAAAATAGCTAGTGACACCTACGAGCAAATTATGGCATGCGTTACTTGCATA